AGGGAGGTGAGCTTATCCGAAACCCCGAGTGCGTCGAGTGCGTGCCAGGCGTTGGGGAAGAGGCCCAAGGCCGCGCCGGTGGCTCTCAGCCCCTCCGCTCTCTCCAGCACCAGTGCTCGCACACCAACCTTCTCCAGGGCCGCCGCCGTCGCTAGCCCCGCGATGCCTGCTCCAACAATCACAACCTCCTCCATTTGAAAAGCAAGTTGGCTTTTTTTCCTTTTTACGATCTTTTCTTCTTATTTGGGGGAGACTATCGTGTTGATCTATTTCAGCTATTTCAGAGGGACGATTGTGTTTCTTTTCATAGCTGTTGTAGGTAGTCGTGTACGTCTAATGACGTGCTCTATTTGATTCCTCGTTTGACCAGATATGTGAGCTGCAAGAATCAACATTTTTCAGTAGAAAGGAGCGCATGACAAAATGTCTCTTAGCACGAGAATTAGACCTTGCCTATTCTTTGACCAGATATGTGTCATTTTCCCTTAACAAAATGTTAAATGCAAAGTATCTGGTCAAAAATTATAATTGAATAAGTGGGCGGCCCTTGACTTTTCTTTTAGAGGGAATAAGATAAAGCAACGAAAGGAAAAAGAAGCTCATTCGACGTAGGGACATGATGGTTGCAAAATATAACACGAAAAAAAAGTCGCAATGGTTCACAATCTGTGGCTTCAAAAGTCCTGCCCAGGAAGATAACCGGACCTCAGAGGTAACAAATCAAATAGCAAAATATCATGACGGTTATAAGGCAAAATCTTTGACATAATAGCATGAAAATAACACATCAAGCAGAGCATCTACGAGTTGATCATTTAGAACTTTTTCCCTGATTTTTTCATTTCAATTTTTATATCAATAAAATTGTTATCTTTATGCTTACATTCCATCATATGATATCTCTCAATTTATACTATACCAAGTTCTTCATTCATTCAATTCTTTGTTTATCATCTTCGAGCATCGTATATGCTTCATTCATTCAATTTTTTATTTATCATTATGGTATCATAGTCAAGTTCTGATTAGTTTATTTTGCATGTGTATCGGCCCCTTCATCAAGTCCCATATGTCAAGTTCCATGTGTCACATCACTTGATTATTGGTTCGAGATGCGAATTGAGAGGCGAGGGAAGTGGAAGTCATTGCCATGATCGGAGGGAAGGGTTCGAGGGTTTAAGCTTTGGCCGCTAGGTGGCCCTTGTCCTGCCCTGGCGAGGGCCGCGACCCTCCCTTGCTGCTGGCGAGGGCTTCCCGGCCCTCGCTAGATTTAGGTGAGGGCCGCGACACTCGCCCATGATCGGCAAGGGTCAGCGAGGGATTGTGGACCCTTGCCAGCCATAGTGGTAAAAAGAAAACAAAGAAAAGAAAAGAAAAAAAGAAAAAGAAAATATTATTAAAAATTATCCACGTCAGCCTCGGTCGTGTCACGTAAGATGGTCGGCGTCCATGTCAGCGATTTTTAACCAAAATTGGCCGTATAGACTTAATTGGCAAAATATGAAAATGTTTAGTATTTAATTTGTAAAATTAAAAGATTTATGATTTTTGACTTTTTAGACAATTTTTCCTAATAAGAGGTATACCTGCATATGGCGGGTCTATATGAATGCCTCCTATAAGATGACTATTCGGTCGCCTGGGACGTTCAAACATTCGAGGATCTCAAGAGAGAAGACGAGATAAAAGGTACATATTTATGAAGTATTGAGAGGCATCCAAAATTCTAATCATCTTTATTTATGGCTCACTTACCCACGTATAGATTAAGAGTTTATTTATTTCACGAAATAAACAGAGCCTAATATACTTCAATTCTCCTTCTCTAGTTTATGAACTTCGTCGCCATCAAATCATGCTAATTACGAAGTGACGACAATCCACTGTAAAACTAGTGAGATCAGTGTGCTCTATACTTTACTGAAACTATGGAGCAAGTAAACTTTTTTTTTTTTTACAACAAACTTGTTTGGCCCTTTTGTTGCGTTACCTATATCGCGATCTCGGTACGAGGCTTGGTCCGACTAGTCCGAGTGTGAGGCTTGTCCGTAGAGTAAACCCAGCATTTGTGGACGCCGTCGCAGTAGGAATAGCGCCGGTCCTCGGGCACGTCATATGGCTTTTGGATGTGGTAATACGAATGGTTGAGAGGCAGAAACACGAAGCCTTGGGTCGGATCGACAGGTCCCGAAGCCGAGCTCCCGTGCGATACGATAATGAGATGAATGATAGTACTTAAGTACTTAGCTTTTGAGAAGAGGAAGGTAGACATTGTTAGGTGAAGGAAAGGAGTTGGGAGTGGTTTTATGGATGGTATAGCAATCATCAAGAATCGAGAGTATATATAGAGCCCGATGGAGATGGAAATGACTAGGTTTAAATTAGATTGACCAGTGGATGGAACGTTTTTGGACCCGGGATGTCGCAATCGGAAGCTAGCAATCCAATAAATTACGCAAAAATAAGTGGACAAATCATATAACTATTCTTTTTACGCATCCCGCGTCTAACGCCATTGATACTGGTAGTTTTATTTTTGGCAATTAACTAATTGTCCATCTTGACAATGAGAGATGTCGAACGTCTCAAATACGGCCCGTGCATCCAATATTAATCCTTACTTAATTTTGCTACGTCAACTTTCGTGAGTTCTGTGAAATAACATTTAGATTCCGATTCACACGGCAGAATACCTAATGCCCATTAGAAGTGGACTCAATATATATATTTTTTCGATTCAACTGTCAGGTGCAGTCTGGATCAAATTTTGGAGATCTTGATTAGTCATGCAATCAATATTCTAAAATTGACGAAGTCCATTTTCTTTTCCCGATGATGTGGCCACGGTAGTGGGTAGCCGGCGTGCCGCTGTGCATGACGGAGGTGAATATGGAAGATGACGAAGAAGGGTAAAAGGGATATACGAAGAAAGAAAGAAAGAAAGAAAGAAAATGTACTCTCAGGAGAATAAGCTAATTTGTTCATTCGGATAATCTTAATTAAACCTCGTACTTAGTTTACTTTGTGTATCTTTATCTGCCTTTGACTCTCCTGAGGTATGCTTGAGCTTGACTGGCACCACCGAATCAAAGACCAAACTGAAGTAAAACAAATTGCAGGCGAACCATTTGTAAGGTTTACGTTGCTACCTGACAAGTCAAACGCATTACCCTCGATCGGCAGCGCAGTTGGTCAATCCAGGATTGGCGCTGCATCAAGTTTCCAATTGACAAATTGCAGGACTTTCTGTTTGGCGAGGTGATAATCAATTAATTTGATGGTTTCTTGTGATTGTTGCCCGAGATTGTTAAACTCTGTGTTGGACATTAATCTCGGGTTCTCCTCGCGTCAAACATTGGAGAGGCCTAATTAGGTTTACAATACAGCCGAAGAAATTGTCCAATTAGTTCCAAACTTATTTTATGGATCGATTTAGTCCTAAATTTTTTAATTTTGCCAATTTAGTCATAAACCGTTGCGAGAAATTTCGAGGGAAAATTACCAAAAAAGTCATAAATCTATTGAAATTGTGCCAATTTAGTTCTAAATCTTTTTTTTTGTGCCAATTGAGTCCTAAACCTTTTGCATTTGTGCCCATTCAGTCCATCCAGCCAATTTTGGCTGGCCGGCGCTGACGTGGCACGACTGGCGCTGACGTGAACAATAATAATATTTTAATAATTTTTGATTTTTTAATGATTTTTTTTCTTTTTCCTTTTTTTTCTTCTTTTTTTCCTTCCTTCTTCCTCTGGCTGGTTGCCAAATCGAGGCGACCAGCTAGAGGTGAGGGCCGGCAAGCTCAATTAAAAATTGTTCATGTCAGTGCAGACCATTTTATATTAGCACTGGTCGTGCCACATTAGCATCGGCTGGCCAAAATTGGCCGGATGGGCTGAATTGGTACAAATGTAAAAGGTTTAGGACTGAATTGACACAATTGCAATAGGTTCATGACTTTTTTGGCAATTTTTCCGAAATTTTAATATAGTCATTCCGGCCAATTTTCTCAGAAAATTATTAAAGTGGCGGCTGGTGATGACTAGACCGCCACGATAGTGATTTTCGGTGAAATAATAGGTTTATAACCAATTAGGTAATTTTTTGTGACACAGCCTACTGTCTTATATTTCTAGAGAAATTTTGGTGTGTATATCTTCTTGTCCTCCGTGGTGCACACTGCACATGAACCGTGCTCATAATCAATAAGACTAAGGGCACGCAGGCTAGAGACTGAATAACAAACTTCACCACCAAAAACTTAATCAATATAAAAATCAAATCTCCTAAATTGAAGACATTCAGAACTCACAAGATATTGAAGCAATCCTTGTTATTCTTCTCATATTCCACGTTAAATCTAGAGTTCACAAGAGACTGAAAAATTAAATATTATCCATATAATTCAGTAACTATTTACCTCGAATAAAAAACTGCTAGAATGTTACGATCTACCCACTTGAAATAAATTTCGTCCTCGAAAGGGTACCGATATTCCTTGAAAATTTTATAGAAATTCAAATAACAAATCATATGACAAGTAACTTGATATGTCCAATACTCTCGATCCTCGAGCCACCGTTGACATCTAAATCTCCTTAGGTTGTACGACGAGAAGGAGTTTACTATAGTCAGTGCAGTGAGATTTACCGAACTAATCATGCCTTTATGCCTGTTGTCGTTCATATCAAATCACTGTCTTCCACTAAAGCACTGGCGTCCTTGTTAGTGTCGACGCATAAAACATTGAACCGTCGAATTTTTCTCGAATAGGTTCATGGCGAAGTAAAATCTAGGTGTCCTTAAATAGGACAAGAGCACCATTTTTTGAAAAGGTGATACAAGATGTTAAACCATGAACAAGAACGCGCGCTAAACTCAATGAAAACATATGTAATTGATACTCCCGACATTCTGAAATGATAATTCTTTTAAGTAGCTGTGAATTCATCACCATGGGCAAGGATTAGACCAAAACGAAATCTTCACTTATCGCTCCATTATCAATCGCGCTTTTTCAAAACTTTGATGTCTCTCCAACGCGACTCCATGCAGAGAGAATCACCCTCTTGGGCATACGCACCACACTTGAAGGCATGAGATGTCCCCCCACGGCCATCAGCCTCTAATTTCAGATACCCATCGATGTACACCTTCACTTTCGAGGCATCTGCATCGTGCACGACGTTCACTCGGAACCACTTGTCGTAGATCTCGTCAACGAGGACCACGCTCCGGTAGTACATGAGCGTGCCATTGTACACTCTTAGCATAAGCGTTGACGCGTGAGGGCTTGTGGCTCCAAACACTTGCATTATACATACGCCGGATGTCCCGGCCGGGACGTATCCATATCCTTCGAATTGCCAAACTCCTGAAGAATAGTTGTATCCCTAAAAAAGGTACAACATTTAAGAAAAGGTTTAAATATGCTATTAAGGAATGAAATGATTTATCAAGTCCCATGTTGGACGAATGAAATGATGTAAATTGTGACACCGTATGGGTGAGGTCTTTTGATGTTATTTTATAACTTAAATAAGATTCATCCCCAAATGATCACCATCTTGTGTACTTACTCAAATTTACTTTTGGGGCAGATTCAAGTGAAACAGGTCGGGTGTTACATATATTATGTTAACAAAGCCGTTGGATGTGGAAGCAATATAAGTAGGAATTTTATGTTGCCTAAACTCATCTACTTAAAATCCATGATTTTCCCTCTTCTTCACACCCAATGAAAAGTCACCACATGAATTAAGGAGTTGTGGTAAGACTTCTTAGTACTCTTAGCTTTTCTAATTAAAGAACACAGGAACTTATGTGGGGTAAATCAAACTCAGATCCAGTAAGTAGCGTTAATCACGTATCTGAAAACAATGGAATCTGCACTAATTCAAGAAAGAAACACGCAATTCCTGTGTTGTGATTGACTTTGTCCATCGGGCCATTAAAAGAATTTGAGTCTGGATGATATTATTAATTTTCACTTGGACCATGTTGAAAAGCAATTTAAAATGCCAAACCCTCAATAATCTGCATATAGCTGGCTGGATGGAGGGGGTTCACGGGTGTAATTTGACCCATGACATCAAGACAAAGTCCAAAACATGCTTTCGTCGTTTCGTTCTAATAGCTCAACTTCTCATATTAGAAGAACAAACCAGTGGCAGTCCACAAAAGCAAGTGTGCCTTATCGCCACAAGAGTTCACACGACAATCATAACGGACCGAGTATGCCAAACAAAAAAATGAAAAATGAAAAATAAAGATGTAGCCATCGTATCAAGTGAGACTCTCGTAAGACTCTAACATGATTGACGATGAATTCGATCTAGACAACTATTTTAACGCGATAATAGGTCGCCACTCGGTGTGATATCAAATGAGCTTAGCTCAGTGACAGCATTCAAAATCTCAAATGGTTCACTTGTGATGTGAGTAATCATGCTCTGGCTCTACTATGCACTTACACAAAACCAACACAGGTCAGTTCGAGCCTTTGTTACCGGATACGTACATGTATGGCGATCTCGGTACGAGGCTTGGTTAGGCTCGTGAGCGTGTGAGGCTTGTCGATGGAGTAAACCCAGCAAGTGTGGACGCCGTCGCAGAAGGTGTAACGTTGGTCCTCCGGCACATCGTATGGCTTCTGGATGTGGTAGTACGAACGATTGAAAGGCAGAGATATAAAGCCTAGGGTTGGGTCAATTGGTCCCCAAGCCAAGCTATTGTGCCATATTGTGAGCTGAATGATAATTCCCGAGAGCATGGTCTTTTTTGAGTTGAAACTAAAGGGGGACATTTTCCATTAGTAAGAAGCACTAGCTATGGTAGTTCGTGGACTATGGAGTTGGCCAAAGACCATGATCTTAAGAACGTTTAAATATTGTATTAAGGAGTGGATGTGGAACATGTTTTGGAGTCTCGGTTTGTCTCAATTGGGAGCTAAGGATTCCCCACTATATAAGTTAGTAAATTATGTTGAATACAATTATTAGGTGGACCATTTTCCTTCTATTTTGAATTAATTTGTTCACGACTCAAGCTACTAATTTTATTTTGGGGTAAAGATTCGAGCTATTAGATGGTTGGATTGTACCAAGTTGGACATCGAATATTCTTGCTGCTTTGTCCAATCTTCTTTGACCTTATTCCCTAAAAAAACCCCGAACTTTAAGTCGAATCCCAATTCTGCTCAAAACTTATTTTTTCGTCTAAATAAAAATTACCAACTTTCACTTTAGTCCCAAATTTGCCCCGCGTTAAAAAAATCGCACCATCGGTTTCTTCAAAATTATCAACATTAGAAGGCTATTGTTGTTCTATACTAATGTGAGGATGTTGGTGAAGACGCGGGTTCCGATAATGAGCTTCTAAATGGCATTGATGTTGATAATTTTGAAAAAATAAGTGGCGATTTTTGGACGTGAGAACAGATTTGGCACTATAGCGAAAGTTTGTGATTTTTTTCGGTAAAAAAAATTCAAGATAAAGTTGAGATTAAAATTAAAGTTGGGGGTCTTTTAGGGAAGTAAGCTAGCCTTGGCCTTTGGACCACGGGGATAGCATCCAGTGAAGATGAGACCAACGGATATTTTTTGGATTTGACTAAAAGGAGTCCAATTTTGTAAAGTATATACTACTTATAAGGGTTAATACCACAAAAAACCCTAAACTGGTACACTTATGATAAATTTACCCCAAACTGATTTTTTAACCACGAAAAGTCCCAAACTGGTACACTTATGACAAATTTACCCTCTGTCAGTTTCCGTTAAATTTTACCGTCAAATTGCTGAGTTTAGAGACATGTGGCAGGTAACGGATGTACCAGTTAAGGATTTTACCCATCTGTTTGTCACAAGTTTATCAATTTATATTTTTTCGTGGTATTAATATAATTTAACGGAGGGTAAATTTGTCACAAGTGTACCGGTTTAAGGTTTTTGGTGGTCAAAAAATTAGTTTGGGGTAAATTTGTCATAGGTGTACCAATTTGGGGTTTTTTGTGATAAAAAAATTAGTTTAAGGTAAATTTGTCGCATATGTACCGGTTTGGGGTTTTTTGTGGCATTAACCCCAACTTATTATTTGTTTCGAGATTACCCAAGGTAGTCCAAAGTCTTATAATGGAACATCACGAAGCCTAAATTTGAATCAATCGCGAACCAGGGTGTACTCAATTTGACTCAAAAAGGAAGACCTGTGAGTGCCCATTGTGACCAACCATTAGGAGTGGTCAACAAGCAAGGGAAGTCAATGAATGAGGACAAGTGCATGGGGTCATGAGCAAAGTCGAGGAAGTTGTTAGGTCACGGGACAAGTAGTCCTCGGTCAAGGAGGAGACAAGCACGTATCAACACCCTCATCCCAAGTTTTTGTCTTTTCACTCCCTTCGCACTTCGTTTCCATGGTCTTTTCCCTTCCATGTACGTTTCAATTCCTGTCACGTACTTTCAATTCTTGTATTTCTGTTGACATAAAAAAATGTCCAAGTGTTCGGTCGTTAATCTCGGATGCAAGCACAAACAAATATCCAAGTGTTCGGTCGACAATCTTGGATGTAAGCAACAAACATGTAACCCACAAAGAAGTGGAGGCGACAGAACCATCAAGTAGTGGAGTCGACAATTTTGGATGCGATTGTCAAAGAGATAACCGTCAAGATGGTGGAGTCGATATAATTGTCAAGTAACCATCAGTGTAGTGTAGTCGATGTAACTATTAAGTAACCGTTGGTAGTGAGTCAATGTAATCGTCAAGTATCTGTCAGTGTAATGTAGTCGGTGTAACCGTCGCTTGTGGGCTGTAAATACCTCAAGTTAACTCTTTGTAAAGCCCCTTAAATCAATTACAAAACTCAATGTTATTCTGAATTATCTTTACTTTCCCGTAATTTGCATGGCTAGACACGATTGTTTCCAGTTTCCGTATATTTAATTTTTCTTGTTATTTACTTTCATATCCACAATCAACAAATGACCCTTCACAACTTTTGTTTATTCACTCCGATCCATATTCTAAAAGGTAATTCATCGTCGACTTTTCGGTAAAACATCTTTTTGGCATGCCCGATGGAATACATTTTGTTGATTTGAGGAGACTACAATGGCAAGAATGAGAAATCAACAATAGTCCTCAATGCTGTGAATAACGCTTTGTCGAGGTCGAAATCGCCCAATGAACTACCAACAGTCCAAGCCAATCCAGTGGTACAAGGTATGTTCCTTTGCTTTTAATAATAGAGACATTGTTGGTCAAAATAATTTAGTCGGTAATAACAAATCGGCAAACCAAATTGGTTGACAGACTAGTCAAATGCCAGAAGTTGAAAATGTAAGGCCAACGATCGTTATGGCACTATCAAATGCCAACATCCCTGTTCGGCCTAACTTATCGATCCGTGTTAATATAGATAATCCAACAAGTTCGGCATCACCGCCTAGGGGGCAAGTTGGCCAACTAAATCTTAAATTAAACCTAGCACAATTTACCAAAGAAATTCAACAAGAATTGGATTTGAATAGAGGAATTGTTAGGCCTGTTTGCTGGAATCCTTATCCTGATTATGCTTAGAGATTATAAAATTCCTCACTTTGAGCAGTCGACCCATTGAACATATCAGCCAGTTTTGAGCTTAGTGTGGAGAAGCTGTAAGAATTTCCTAATGTGAACTTCATTAATTGAAATTAACTGAATTAGTTTGGTCTAATAAAGGTAAGATATATGAGTTCTTAATAAGTCTAATATGGGGTTGGCTGGTGTGGGCCGAGTACGGCCTGGCCCGTAATGAGAGGGCCCGTGGTCGAAGACTCTATAAATAGCGCTTAAGTCCCTCCCCTAACCTGATGATGCATAATCTAACTCACATACGGATCTAGAGAGAACTTTCTTCTCGTGAGTGGTAATCTCATTAGGCCAGTGTTCTAACGAAGGGTATAGGGGAGAAGCACTTGAGTTCGTGTTCGGAAACCGTCGCAAATTCCGCGTCAAGTTTGATGGATTCCAAACCAGGTATGCGAATCGATAATTTCTCCATTAACGTGTTTCGATTTCTGATTATGGTGATCCTGGGTGTGCCATTTTCGTGGCCAACATGTGGTATCAGAGCCTGCCATAGATTAGAACTGAAACATGCGGATTAGGACCGTTTTCATTATGTCCGAGAGGTTTTTACCCATTTTCGGAATTTTTTGTCGGATGAATGTAAAATTTTATTACATATTCGGAATCTACTCATCGAGACGAGAAGAATGACGGGCAGTACGTCACCGGAAGAGGCTGCACGTGCCCTCACGCGCCGACACGCGCCGTGAGCGCGGTGGTGCGTGACGGCCACGCGCGGCAGTGCCGAACCGGTGCGTTTTCGCCGGTAACCGCAGGATGACGTCAGCGGGGGTGCGGATCCGGGTTGACCGGATACTAACTTGACCTGATCCTGACTCGACCCGATATTTGACCTGACTCGAATTTAGACCCGACCCGACCGTTGACCCGACCGGTCCATTGACCATTGACCGGTTGGACCGGTCAATCGGTCGGACCGGCTGTTCAGACCGGCTGAACACGAGCGCACGCGCTGCGCCTTCCGGCGGCATGTGAGAGTGCGTCCGGTGTCCGTTTGGGACGTTCTTGGTACCGACACGCTCGTATCGAGATTCTCTACATTGTGGTGTATTTATTTTACATGTTTGGAGCTTTTACAGATGTGAAAATACGTATAGAACCCTATATACGCTTATTTTTAGGGTATTTTTGCATATTTTCTTGTATTTCTCTATGGTTTCGGAAATGCATATGGTAGCTCACATGTATATCATCACATAAGGACTGTGTAGAGTGTAATTCATTGTCTATCAATGAATGGAACAATATAATTAGCATGACATGTAATTTCAGAGATATACGCCCCTGTCTTTACGTCTAGCATTACATGTATATAGTGAATGTGATACATAAAGCTCATATCCCTGGTATGAGAGATTTTCAAGGATTCAGTTGGGTAGTGACCGCCAAAGTGGCACACTTGACTGGGTTTGAGAAATATCGGTCACATATTGTGGTGGGATGTCTCCTGTTTTATTGCATGATCATACTTCCAAAGGAGGTGATCTTGTATTGGTGCATGGAGGGGTACGTGTATAGCATGTGCTTGAGAAATGACTGATCTTAGTGGTTCATACACCCAAAGGTGGTGATTTCACGAAAGATTAGAATATGTTCTCAAGGCTGCTGTCATGTGGAGAGTGTACAACTGCATGTCATATTTTCTGCCCAAAGGTGATTATGTGATGATGTATGTAACTCTCTGGATAAAGTACTCACATGATGCTGATTGTATTGTTTGTTTATTTTCCAGTCACCTTTTCTATAAACGGCAATTCCATTTCCATTGAGGTCCTTACTGGGTTGAACTTTAAGAAATAGAAAGAGGATTTTCTATTTGGAATGGAGCTGGCTGATGTTCACATTGCTCTTACAAAGGATAAGCCCGTAGTTACCACGGCCACTAGTACTGAAGCTGAGAAAACGGACTATGCTGCTTGGGAAAAGAGCAATCGGATTTGCTTATTGACAATGAAGAAATCCATTCAAGAACACTTGAAAAGTGGTTTGCCAGCTAACTGTACTGCTAAGGAAATGATGGCAACCTTAGAGGCTAGAAACCGCATTTCATCTAATGCTGAGGTTGGTACACTTCTTCAAAAGCTCTTCAATATGAAGTATGATGGTATTGCTGGGGTTAAAGATTATGTCCTTAGGATGGTA